GTTCAACTCAGAAATCCTCTGAAAGAACAGTAAGTGCTCTTAACTGCTGAGCCAAATTCCACTAGATGCTTTTAAAATCCTGTTACTCTTCTTTGTAGAATCACCTGAACACATGGAATTACTCCAGAAAAGCACTGTAGCAGTACAGGATGATATCCTCTCGGTGAGCTCCTCTCCCAAGTCTGCCTGAAGAATATTCTCTCCTTCTTAAGCTTCAGTTACAGGTAATCTTATTCATTCCCATGGATTTAAGCTTCCTCCGTTAGCTCTTCCAAAGCCTCAGCTTAGTTGGATGGCTTGTTGAAAATGTGAATCTCCCCTCTCCTCTCATAACCTGCCTTCACCTCATCTAGGCTTCTTCATTATGTTCCCTAAACTAAAAAGCCAGGACTAAAGCCATGTTTTCAAGACAGCGTAGAAAGATAGAGAAAACCAAGGAGGGGAAAGCCAGGAGAAAAAAGAGAGACAGCCCTTCGCCCTGGGATTTAATTGCCTTTCCTGCTGAGTTAAGAAACTTAAACACAACTGGTAAAGCTAAGATTGTCTATAGAGGTAATATGTGTTCTTCTAAAGATATCTCAAACAAGGATGCTAAAAGCAAGTGAATTATTTTTAATCAGGGCCAGACTGTTTATAGCCTTGAGTTCTGAAAACACTCCTCACGTACCCTAAATCTAAACAGAGTGTGTCAAACAACCATTGGGCAGTTTTATTTATAAAAAGAAGTTTGAAAAATAAATTTACTTTATTCTTGATAATTCCACTCCTCTGTATAACACACACGCACACACACACACACCAACCTCTCATTTCCCTCTTCAGACTCCCAATATCGTCCCAGTCCTTGTCCCAGTTTGCTTCTCTATTATTGTGATAAACACCATCCAGAGACAGATAGTCCTGGATGAAGTAGGACAACAGGCTGAGTGAGCTATGCAGAGTAAGCCAGAAAGCAGCTTTCCCGCATGGTCTTTGCTTTGGTTCCTGCTTTCAGGTTCCTGTCTTGAGTACTGCATTAGCTACTCTCAACAATGGACTGGCGAGCTGAAATAAACCCTATCTTCTTTAAGTTGCCATTGGCCATAGCAATCAAGAAGCCAAACAGGACAGAAATTGGTACCAGGATCATGGGATATTGGTGTGGTAGACTGTCCATGTTGATTTGAGGAACTTTGGGCTAGAAAAAGCTTTTGGATACTTAAGAGTTTAGGCTGTTGTGAGAGCTTGAAAAGTAGGGATGTTGAAAGAGATGCAAACTGTTAAAGACTATTAAAGAGACCAGCTTTACTGTTCTAGCTTTAGCCTAATAGACTCCATTTTGTACTTAGACTTCATCTTATGTGTAGCTTGCCCCTAGTTTGAACTCAGTTACTAGAAAAACTATAACTTGTTCCAAGAACCACTCTACCCTTAATCACCACTCTAGATAGCCACTCCACCCTAATAACAACCAATTAGTATCAAGCAGGACAGAATCTAACTTTCCACATAAGATTACTCAAGCTGACCCCCATTGTTCATAGCCAATTAAAAGCATTACTAGCCAATAAAATTGCACGAAGCTTATAACCTTTAAATGTCAATCATGTAACTGCCAAATTGGAAAGCCCCTTCTTACCTTACTTATAACCATGATAAAAAATGACTTGACTTTATTAGCTTGGGGCCTTCACCACCCATCCACTTCATTAGAGAAGTTTAGAGGTCTACATTCGAGCTTAAATAAAGACTCTGCTTTTGCATACAAGTTAGATTCTTGGTGGTCTTTTGTGGTCTTTGGGGAGCTCACGATCTGGGCATAACACCTATCAGAGCTGTTTATGTGATACTTTCAAGGATATGTGTTTTCTGGTAGGCAAGCCTGTAGGTTATTTTCTTGATTAATAATTGAGTATTTGTTAACACCTGACTCGAATTTGGGACAGTGGGACCTTGACTATTTCCCCAGTCCCTAAATGTATAATTGAGATTTACTTAGAAGTTAAAAGAATTGCCACATTTGTTCCCTGAGACATAGAGTGGAGGCTGTTAATGGTTGGAAAGGCCAAATGGAAGCCATCAAAATTGCCTTTATCGTGGAAAATAGTGACTCCAAAACAATATGGCATTTCTGGAGGGATTTTAAAGGTTAGTACCACCATTAAAAACACGAAAGATTCAGGAGCAGTGTTTTCTATCGTACCTCCTTTAAGTCTACTTGACCTGTGAAGACGGATGGATCATGAAAAATGGCAGTGGAAAACTAACCAAGTAATGACTCCAATTGTAGCTGCTAAATGTGTTATGTGTGATTTATTCACTGGAGCAGATTAACATATCACTTGGTATGTAGCTATGGACCTGGCAAATACGTTTTTCTCTATATCCGTCAGTAAAGACCATCAGAAACAACTTGCTTTTTACTTGCAAGGCCTGAAGTATATCTTTTCAGGTTTCTCCCAAGGGCACATCAATTCTCAAGCCCTGTCATAGTTTAGTTCAAAGGGATATTGATTGCTAGTCTCTTCCACAAGGTACTATACTGAAGATATTGTGTTGATTGGACCAAGTGAGCAGAGGGTAGCAACCACTTTAGACTTGTTGATAAGACATGTGCATTATGTGGTAAATAATACAACCTAAAACCAAGATCTTCCTACTCCAGTGAAATTTCTAGGAATCCAGTGGACATGTGGATATAATCTTTTATGAAGCAAGATAAGTTGTTGAAACTGGCCCTCCAAACACCAACAAAGTACAATTAATGAGCATTTTTTGGACTTCAGAGACAGCATGTTCTTCTCTTGGATCTGTTACTTGGTCCACATATCAAGTGACTGGAAAAGCTGCTGTTTTCAAAAGCGGTGAAGTAGGGTACAGAATTAGCTGGTAGGGGTGGGTGTGACTAGCAGGGGAAGATGGGTGTGACTAGCAGAAGATGTGGGTCTGATTAGCAGTGCTTTAAATGTTCTAACCTAAAATATTAGGCTACCAGAGAAGCAAACTGAAGGAGAGAGACTGGTAATGTTGAGACTATCATGTGTTGAAGGTTTAAGTGATATTTTAATAGACAACTTATATTACTTGGATATTTGAACCCAGGGACAAAAGAAAAATTAGACTTGTAGGCACAGCCATAAAAGTTATCACTGAGTTTAAAATATGGAAAAGACAGGATGGGACAGGGATACCTGATGGAAAAAAAATTGTCACATTAAAAAATTCAAAATAGAATGAATTTTATTTAATATTAATTTTATTGATAAGGCAAAATGGGGAGTCTTGTCCCTGACTTCCACTCAACAGAATCCAGTAGCTCCTGACCTCAACAGTTATCACACTGTCTACAGATATTATCATGTGGGAGCAGAAAGGGGGTTGCTCCTGACTAGAACTATGGAATTCAAATAATTTCAAGGTCAGTATTTCTTGTTAGCCACTAAAATCTTGGTATTAGAGAAACAGTATGTATATCATCCCGAGTCCATTTATCCAGAAAAACAAAAAACAAAGCAAAACAACAAAACACTCAAGCCAAGGAACTTTACAAGTACCCAAGAAGGTGGGGAGGAAAAAAGGTTGGGAGAATATCACCTGACTCTCAGGTGGAATAAGAGAAGTCCTGAACATAGGGATGTGAGACTCAGTTCTATCAGGCTCTACTCTGGGTATTTATTAAAAAGGTTTATCTTGGGTTTGTCACACAAAAACTATGAAAAAATAATTTGTGTTTTAAAAGGATCCTTTAAAAATTGAATACTCCTCCAAGGGAATTAATCCCATGTGTTAAGGGCTTAACTCTTATGAACTGTCTAAATGAAAGATTTGCTTAGGGTACATTTTGCAGTCAATATCAATCAACACATGATACTAAGAAAGTAACAGACTATATATAAATATATAATCCAGTGAACCTTGGCTTTCATGAACAAAGAATTTAACTTCATGTAAACTCAACTAAAGTTGGATATATACCACATGTCTGACCTGCCAAAATAAAAATACTCATTTGTGGAGGACTGCCTTAACTGTCCAAGAACCCATAACTATTTTTTCCCATTCTTGGATTGAGTGAACCCCTTCAAAGAGCTGTTTTCTGGAGTTCTATGATCTCTAGGTTTAAAAGATTTGGTTCCCCTAGATTAGCTTAATATATTCCATGAAATTGGTCTGTAGAATGCCCACACGGATAACCTTATTACACCACCTTCATTTTAAAGAAGCATTTCCCTAGTCCTTATGATACAAGTGTACTTTCTAGATTATGCCTTTCATGGGAAAAACTGAGTCACATGAATATTCTTTCTCTTTTAAAGAAATGTTCAGAGTTGAAATTGTTTTCCAATTAGTAAGTGCTAAAATTATCATGGTGTGTATTTTGTTTTAAATACATTACACATTATTTATTGTGATTTAAATTTATTTGTTCATTTAATTGTAATTTCCTTACTTCAATGAGCTATCTTAATTATACTAGGAGTGATAAAAAAAGCTAGCAAGGTTTAGGATATAGGAGGACCCAAGAATTGAAATAGAATTGAAACAGACTGAAGAATGTTAAAGACGTTATTGCTGTAAGTCAATGAAAATGCTAAAATATAAAGTAAACTAAAAAGATAAAGGGGAAGGGAACTAGAATCTATATCCATAGTCTATTTCTCCATATACAGAAATTTATTAATGTCATTAAAATAAAACCTTCCTCCAAACAATCTCACAAGAATCTACAATGACACTGGAATGTAATTTTGATGAATGTAAAATGGGAAAAACTATTTCTATTATTTAATTAGCACACTATGTTCCATAAAAAGAAAATTGTTCTAAAGCATCATCAAAGAAAAAAAAATTTTTTTTTTTTTGAGACAGAATCTCACTTTGTAGCCTGGCTGGCCTGAAATTTAAGATATTCTCCTGCTTATACTCCTGAATACAAGTGAATGTATCACATACCTGTTCTAAATTCTTCTCACTGACATAACTGTCAGTTTAAAATTCATCAAGAATTCAAATATAGCTTATAAAATCTGCTATGAATTTTATTACCTTTTTGCTTTGGTCTGGAAATTTTAGGTTTAATTAAAACCCAACAGCATTATAGAAATACACAAATTAATCCACCGAGCCTTTATATAAAATGCTGAGTTTATTCATGATATGGTTTTCAAATTACCTCATTTAAAAGTAACAGCTAACAACAACCATTTTAAAATACACTGATGATTTGAAAACAGGTACAACATGAAAATGAAGACTCCTAATTTTAAATAACTGCCTTACTATGAATTTTCCTTTTAATATTTTTTAGTTCAATTCTGGGTGAACCAAGATGGCCTCTTTATGTTTCTTTCAACAATCCTCTTGCCCTGATCCTTTTCTGACGGTTTCTCTCCTGTGTACAGCACCACAGTCTCAACCGAAGGAGCTTTGAAAGGACCCCCCTCTTGAGCCCATATTTGTTGTCTGATTTTTGTTGTCTCCTGGCGTACTTTCTCATAGCAATAGCCACAAAGGACATGTTTCTGCTTCAGATGACCACATTCAGGGCAAATGTCTATATTGTTCTTTAAAACAAAGAAAAACATATTAATAACAGGCAACGTAATACATAATCACCAGCAAGAACATGCTGACATTGTAGCTTTCTGAGAATGTTCACGCTACATGAGACTATGTACTATCTAGTTCAACAATTAAAACAGGAAAAGTAGAAAAAAAAAAGCAACACTGAGTTCAAATTAGTAAGAAAATTAGGACTAGAACTCAACTTTACCAGTCCAGTAAATTTTTATTCCTATGGCCTAAGGATAAACTATTCTCAAATTCCTTTGTCTAGCCTCTGGCTTGAGTAGAATATTTTCATTATGAGTTTAGTGAATTCCACATTCAATATTAAGAGCATAGTCAAGAAGTTTGGAGATTTTTCAGAAGAATTGTTTGTAAAGATCTCATCTGACTTTTGAATTAACAGCTCCATCAGTCCTCGAACTTCAAATACTAAATACCCAACAAAGAGCCCGTCAACACGATGGGGTGATTCATTAAGAGTGTCTTAAAACAGGGCTGGAGAGGTAGCTCAGCAGTTAAGACCACTGACTGCTCTTCCAGAGGGCCTGAGTTCATTTCCCAGCAAACACATGTGGCTCACAACCATCTGTAATGGGATCTGATGCCCTCTTCTGGTGTATCCGAAGACAGCTACAGTGTACTCACATAAAAATAAATAACTAAATCTTAAAAAGGAAAAAAAAAAAGAGTATCTTAAAATATTAAGGAAAAGTTAGATAATTTATCAATCCATGATGAGCCAAACAAGATGCTAAGACTGATTTCCTCTGCTACATAAATATAATACCAGGTTACTCAGTGTTAGACTTGAGGAAGAGAGTGTGTATGTGCACAACCCCCTCCCCACATACATTACCTTAATTTTAATAAGGTTTCGAGGGTCTCTTCTCCTACATCGGTTAACTTCGATGGTGCGTCTCTTTTTGGGAGCTGCCATCCAAAAGATACTATCTAAAAAGCTGGAATTCTCGTTATTTTCACTGGTATCATGTGCTAGCTCTGTGAGGATGGATGGACTCTGGACTGCTAATGCTGGTGCTATAAAACAAAACAGATACTGAATCAACTTAGAGTTCCTAAATCAATATAGATACTATTTTCTCTAACAGTCAACATGTATAGTGTCACTAGACATACAAACCTATAAATTAGATGTGTTTGTGTCTATATGTGCACATGTGAAGGTCAGAGAACAGCTTTCAGAGTTAGTCCTCTCCTTGTATATTAGTCGTGAGGCTAGAACCCAGGTCTAGAGACTTAGCAAAAGGTCCTTTACTACTGAGCCATATGGCTGGCCTGACATAGTTCTGAATGTTAAACACAACAAACATTAATAATAAGCCCCAGCTATTAATATATCCTAAAGCTCATACAAAAGGCAATTTAAAATAATTCAAATGGGATGCTTTATTATTACAACCTACCACAGCAGCTGGTCTACTATGTATGTAATATGGCATACTGTAGTGTACAGTAATCAGAGATTCTCTACATTCACTTTGACCATCACTGAGAAGACTACAATGGCCATCATCTGTATCATACCGGCTTGAGCCATTTAGCTCCCTTATCTTTAAACCTGTTAGGTCCCTAAAGCCATTAAATTCCTCCTTAATGTTTAATCTTGACCTGTGTGCTAAGAAAAGGAGATTTATTATTTATGAGATTATCAAGTGTTGCTTTTGGTTTTGTTTTGGAGACAGGGTTTCTCTGTGCACTTTTGTTTTTCTAAATTGCTTAGGTCACTTCTTTCCCTTTCTTTTGTTCTTCAGGCTTGCAAATGTTCGCTCAATTCTAAGGACTTCTTACCACTACATAAACTATCCTAGCACAACCCTGAAACTCCAGAATCAAGTTGAGGCAGGAGATCAGCAGCTTAAGGGCAGACTGGACAGTGGATAGGAATGTTGTCTCACTCCCTCCCCCATGCCAAAAACAAAAAGAGTAGAAGCTTTCTATAGGCATTCTTTCTCAGCTGACCTGAAATAATGCTACGAAAAACAGTCGTTTACAACAGCTTTGGACTGCTGGACTGACCTTGGAGCTTTCTCAGTCTATTAGATAACGAATGGATTGAAATGATTATTTCAGGTAGCACATGGAGACAATTATTTATTATACTGCACTTGAGATATAAGAACATATATCTCTGTCCAAACTGTTTGGGCATTACTTCTGGGATACGTTGTAAATAACAAAGCAATTTAAAATTTAACACCTAAGATACCAGGAGCTTGAAGCTAGCCTGGGTTATATAGCGAGTTCTAGAACACCCTGGCTACAGAGACAGTCTCAAAAAAACAAAAAACCACAAAAAAAACAAAAAACGAAAGAACGAACGAACCAACCAACCAACCAACCAATCAAAAAGTGCGCTGTTTCTGTCCTACAACCCGGAAGCCCTCACCAACCCTCTTTCCACGAACTCTCTCCTTACGGACCCCACTGAGGACTGGCAAAGCCGCTCCAGGTCTGCTGCAGTTGCCGCTGTAGCAGTTCCCAGCACATCTGGAGTGGTCCGGGACGCACCCGCCATGGGAGTGACAGCAGCAGCAGCGAAGGAGCCATGTTCTTCAGAAGAGCGGGACCTGGGCTAAGAGCATGCGTAAGTCCGCCCACTTCCCCGCCTCCGCTCTCAGAGCATGCGCAGGCCACCTGGCGCATGCGCACGGGTCAAAAGCCGGCTGGGATCCAAAAACTCCAACTTCCAGCTGCCCCTGGGCGCGTCTGACTCTCCTCCAATCAGAGCAAAGAGAAAAAAAAAGTTAAAGGAAGCAGACTTATTGCGCATGTGCGTGGCTGTGTTCCGACTTTCCGGGTAAAGATGGCAGAGCGCGGTTACAGCTTCTCGCTGACTACATTCAGGTACCCGGGGAACCCCAGGTTCAATGCATCGCAAATCACAAGAGCGCCCCAGACATGGTCCCGTGTGTCGGATCTTGCCGGTGTTTGCGCAGGAACGCGTGGTGATGGAGCTGGACTCGTAGCTTTGCAGAGTCATGTTCGGTGCCAGGCCTGGGCCCTGGCTGAGGCGGGCGGTGTTGGAGGCTGAGGGACTGGAGGGCCCAAGCCAAGCACTGGCTCTTCCTCTCTAAAATAGAAAAAGGGTGCTTTGAGATAGTCTTATTTTCAGCTGTTCTATTCAGGCCCAGGATTTCCTTACTGACCCAACTAGGCCTGAGCGAGAGCTTCGGAAACCCTGACTGCTGGTGGGACGTGTGAGACGTCGTTTTTCTTTGGGGGAAATCCTTATTTACTGTTAAATTTGAGTTTTAGTCTCGGTTTAGCAACAGTGTACTGTGAAGCCCCTCACTGCTTTCGGTTTCGCCAATGCTCCTCTAGAAGCTTAAGTACAAAATGAAGGAGCTGATTTCCTGTCAAGTTTTCGTGGCTCACGCAAACTGATAAGCTCTATGTTTTATTTGACCCATTAAAACTTTGCTTTAAAACGATTTTTAGACCCTTAGGTTTTGGGAGAAAGAGTTAAAGAGTTAAATGTATTTTCTCAGTGCATTTAAGGGGAACCATTGTTCTCTGTTTAAGAAAAATCATCACGGATGAACTTAGACAAAGGACTGTGTTTTCACCATTTTCTTAAGGACTGACAACTGAAGGCAGCCAGGATCTACCTGTTGAATATAACTGTAACTAGTAGTGGTTTTCCATTACCACCTATGTATAATGAGTTATAGAGGAGCCTAAACAATCAAGGTTGTCCACTAGTAGCTAAGTCGGTACTCAAACCATGTTGGTTTTGAAAACAGTAATTAATATACTTTTTGTTACAATATATTGTCTTTCTTTTGAGAAGTGCCCTCTACAGTTTCAAATAAGAAATTGAGTTTTGGAATCTTTGAATGAATTCCACTGACTTCCTTAGCTAATGATTTCATTATATAATTGACAGAGTCTATTAGTGCATGCTAGTCACTTATATTTGTAAACAAAATAAATATGGTCCTGAATAGTTTCATTATAGCTGAGACAAATGGACATAGATCATGAGGGACTGATTTTTTTAATTGTTATTATTTAATTTATTTTGGTGACAGAATTATTGGTAACCCAGGCTGGCTTAAAATGGCCATTAACTAAGGATGACTTTCAGTTTCTCTTTCTGCCCCCACTTCCTCTGTGATGGGATTTTAGTAGTGCACTCCCATACCTTATGCTGAGTCATGCATTCTAGGCAAGCACTCTACCATAGGCGCTACATCCTCAGCCCTTGAGTCTTTTATAACAAACATCTGAATGTTTTCACAAACACATTTCTTTATTATAACAGACTATTTAAAAAGAAAAAGACAAGGTTTAGCTATTTAGGAAGAAAACCTGGAGTCTACTGGAGTGAGTTCTATACATGTGTTCCTGGAGATTTTATGAAAGAGGCTGTGGGATTCATGAGTACAGAAGCCCCTTGATTACTCGGTATGCTTGCCTGAAGTCAAGGTCAGTGAGTGGTAAACTGAGGCAGTAGTAGGATGCTTTGCCAATCAGAGATGGGGAAAACAATAGCAACAAAACACAGGAAAGAGAATTAGTGCCATTCTTGGGTACTCAAGTCTGGTAAGCTTAGTTTCCAAACACCTTCAGGGTAGATTTCAAAGGCTGGGAGGTTTGATTAGTGAGGTTTGGCCTATGTCTTCCTTCTGTCAGATATGCCTGCAGTATTTGAGAATGTGTGAACAGAGACAATGCCTTTGTTTCTTTTCCAGCCCATCTGGTAAGCTTGTCCAGATTGAATATGCTTTGGCTGCTGTAGCTGGAGGGGCCCCTTCAGTGGGAATTAAAGGTAATTCAGTGTTTCCTTCTTTTCAGATGCTTGCTAATAGTTACCTGAAATAGATGCATGTGCATAATCTTAACAATCTTTTTGTTAATTTAGAGAATTTTGAAGTAAAAAAAAACCAGCATATGTACATAAAATAGCACATAATTCTTATTGATCTTTTTGTTAGATTAAAGAATTTTGAAATTTCAAGAAAATAGTATTCAGCACAGTAATGTAAATTTTAAAGCAAATACAGCATTTTAATCTATTGTGATAATTCATAAGTAGTTTTTTCTTCAGGAAACTAATATTTTTTCATTGATTCTGTTTTCTCTGGAGTTTTATCTTCTTTATAAAAGGTTAATTATGAAACATCTAAAGATAAAATTACTGTGTGTTCTAGTATCCTTATAGAGAAATTTCTTATCTGTATTAGAAGAATTAACTAGATGAAAACCAATAAACCTGAAAATATTGAGAGAGAGACTGGCTGCTACTGCAGCTGTGGGGATTTTATTTTATTTTTTCGGTGTTGTGTAAGAATCTAGAAAAAGGTTTTACCATCTAGAGAAGGCAACAAATTTGAGTTTAATGAATCTGTAAGTAGAATGCTAATGAAGAATACAATATATTAATCTTTTTTCCTTCCTTTTAAGCTGCAAATGGTGTAGTGTTAGCAACTGAGAAAAAACAGAAATCCATCCTGTATGATGAAAGGAGTGTACACAAGGTGGAGCCGATAACCAAACACATCGGCTTGGTGTACAGTGGCATGGGCCCAGATTACAGGTATGGTATAGTGTTATGATGTTTTCTTATCATACCGTCCTAATTCTTCTTTGGTTTCTCAGAGTCATGGCAGCCTAACGATAGCTAAGTTTTGTTTTCCTGTAAGGGTTACTTTATGGAGGTTGATCTTGTGATAATACATGGTTGTAAAACGGGTGATTAGTTACATGCTAAAGAGAGACATGTGCTAAGTTTGTATAGTATGTTCTGTTAGAAGAAAGTTGTGGGGGATTTAGTGGAGTGTCAAAATTTTAATTATTTTTTTTTTTTCTATTGCCTTAGAGTACTTGTACACAGAGCTCGGAAACTTGCTCAGCAATACTATCTTGTTTACCAAGAACCCATTCCCACAGCCCAGCTGGTACAGAGAGTAGCGTCTGTGATGCAGGAGTATACCCAATCAGGGTAAGTTACTTTTATTGCTTGAAGAAATGCATTAGGAATTTGAAGAAGAAGAAGAAAAAGATAGTGTAAAAGGAAGCAGGTAAGTAGAAGTCTTATTCTTTCTGTATTTGCTGAACAAATGAAAAAAAAATAACTGTTATAACAATTGTTTCTGGTTTTGACTTAAAATAATTTCTTAAGGTAAAATTTGGCAATATGTGGTGATATACACCTATAAACCTAGTATTCGGAACACTGGGGAGGTAGATAGCAAATTAAGGCAAATTTGGGTTGCATAGTTACTGTCTCAAAAGATGAAAAAGGGAAAAAATGTGTTCTTATCCAATATCAGACTTCAGCATTTGATTTTAAGAAAGCCCTTTGCAGGTGTTCTTTGTAATTTTTTAGTACTCAATAATTAGCTTTTTAATCTGAAGTGACTGTGAAATATGAAGACAGCAATAACATTTTAATTCCACTATTCTTTTGTTGTTTAAGATTTATTTATGTATGTATTTTATGTATATGGGTATTTTGTCTTCATGTATGTCTACGTACACCAGAAGAGGGCATCAATTCCATGATGATCATAGACTGCAGTTAGAGATAGTTGTGAGCTATCATGTGGGTGCTGGGAATTGAACTCAGGACCTAAGGAGAGCAGCCAGGGCTTTAAAACTCTAAGCATCTCTCCAGCTCCCCCAATATTCTTAAATCATACTGTTAATGAAATAGTGTAAAGGTAATTGCTGATAGGGAAGAGACATTTATTAAATGTTAGTATATGCTTCTCTATGCTTAGATAGTAATACCATTATTTATAATTGTGTGCTTAGTCACTTTGTGTTGCTCTAATCCTGGGCCAGGTTTATTTAGACCAGAGGTCTGCAGGTCCAAGGACATGGTTCCTAGTTATTACATGGCTGGAGGTCACACTGTAAGAGGCCCACAGTAGGGTGGCCCACTCCATAGAAGCTAATCCACTTCTCCAAGACCAAACCTACTTTGAGAAAAAGCATTAACCCTTTTCTAAGATGGAATCTGTAACCTTTGTATCACCTCTTGAAGACGCAATTTTGTAATTATGTTGCACTGAGAATTAATTTCTGGTAAACTTTTAGGAACTAAACCCTTTGATTTGGGTTTACTGCTGTCCTAACAGTAATAAAGATAATTCGTTTTATATTGGTTCGTTTAGAAGTTAAAGAAGTCTAACTCAGTTTACTTGGTAATTATTTTCTTGTGAGTATATATAAATTCTTACTTTATTCCGAATCATTTTTGTTTCCTTCCTATAGTGGTGTTCGTCCATTTGGTGTTTCTTTACTTATTTGTGGGTGGAATGAGGGACGGCCATATTTATTTCAGTCAGATCCATCTGTAAGTATCATAACATATATTTGAAATACTTATTAGAATTGTTTTTTATACATGTAATAAAAGTGGAAACCATAAAACTTTAATATTTAGTAGTACTTTCCTTCTTTTTCTCTTTTTTTTAAAGATTTGTTTTTATCTTGAGTTATGTGTATTCATAATATGTGTCCGTGGTTGTGTGCATGTGACTGACTGCAGGTGCCTGTGGAGGACTGAGGAGTCAGATCCCATGAGGCTGGGGTTAGCATTCAGATCCTCTCTGAGAGTAGGATGTGCTCCTAGTCCTGAGCTAGCTCTGAAGCTTCTTGCTTTTTTTTTTTAAGATAGTAGTACACATTTGTTTGCTCATTCATCATTTTTATAGTGCTGTCTTTGATAAGCTGTATGATATATTAGTTTTCACCCTTTTTTGGTCATGTTCATTAGCATGTACTAGAATCTGCATGTACTAGGTCTCTTGAACTCTGTTACTTTGTGACTCTGTTACCACTTCAGTCAGATGTATAATAGGAGGCCAGTGTTAAAGTGTTTGTCATCAATTTGATGACAACTGTGACTGCCTTGAATATGCCTCTTATAACAATGTACAAGGTGATTATGTAATAACTGTCTCTTGATTGAGCTGTTTTTTCTAAAGCAGAAAGTTGATATCTGGATCTGGGTTTATTCCACATTGTTCCATTTGCTGTGAGGAGAAGCTTAAGAAAAAGTTCAAGGTTAAGAAGTGAAGTTTTGTTTATGATTTACTAGATAATTACAAGTTCTCTTGATGCAAGCCTTATAATCTTATCTTATAAATTAAAATGGCAAAACAAAAGTAATCAAATTTTGAGGCCAGCTGTCAGCTTCTGAAACGAATGGCTGGTCTGCTATTGTGCTGTCCAGCCAGTTGAGGAAGGCAGTCCCTGGGGCAGTGTTCACCCTTTGCTGTCCTTTTCTATACTGACGCTAAGAGGATATACCCACGTGATAAGCTTTCCTCTGCAGGCATGTTTGGTTTTCCCAGATGGTACAGGTAGGGCTTCTTAAACATTCCACTTGCCACCCTTTTCATCTGGGAAAGTAATTGTAACCATGGTAAGTAGAAAATGGGTACACAAGTAAGATACTGACTGACAGTAAGTCACAAACCTATCTGAAAACAGTTCTTTGATGTACATATACTTTTACCTTTTATTGAAAACAGAAGCAAATTTGCATAGTAATGAGATAGATGAGCTTGTTTATTTTTACAGAAAGAATTAAGTCTTTATAGAATATTTGAATCTGCAGGATCTTGGAGTGTCAGCATTTTTCAGAGTTGTTTAGATTTTATGTTTGTCAATGCTAAGGATAGATAACACTTCACATAAATACTTGCAGAAATGTTAGGAAAATGCTTGGATTAATTAACCCCAAATCCAGAACTCGTTTAATAATTCTTTTTATGAAACTCAAGTCAACAACCCAAATAACAATTTTAAAATTAAAAAAAAATTCTAACAGTGACATCTAGGCTGAGGAATGATGATAGGACAACAGTGTCCTTTATTTCTTGTAATAAAATCAGTATTTTTCTATAGAAGCACTACCCCTTGACCTATGGTAGTCTCAAATCAGTGTTGACTAGTGCTGTGTAGCATGATGTCATAAACCGTGTAGAGTGCACATGCACTTTCTGAGGCAGACTGTGGGGATGTCACTTAGGTAGCGTGGGAGTGAGCTACCCCAAAACACCTTGGGTTCTTTTCACATTGATCTAATTCTTGATTGTTAAATATTTAGAAACCTTTTACCATTGCCAAATTTTTCATGACCCATTAAAATATTCAAAGATTCTGATATTTTCAATAAAAATCCATTTCTGTTCAATAAAGATGATGAGAGGTCCTTAGATTTCAGGATAGTGTGATACAGTTTAGATGCATTCATTCCATTAAGCTAAGATACTACTTTTAATATTTTACTTTAATTCCTACTTCTGTTTATCTTGCTTTAAAAGTATATAATAATTGCGCTAACCCATTGTTATCTGTTTGGTGAGGTTTGATATGTATATGTATGTGTGTATACATGTATAAATACCAAAGTAAACCATTACCAGAGTCATTAACCTAAGTTTATTCCTGGCTCTTGTTTTTTGTTTTAGAGCCTTTAAACAAAACTTATTCTGTCAAATTGGCATTCAGTTTCAATAATCATGACTTTAGAAGTTAGAGACCAGTTAGAGTTAAACACAGATACCAAAGTAATACAGTTGTGTGAATGTTTTAAAATGTCTTTGTCTCTCCTGATTAGGGAGCTTACTTTGCCTGGAAGGCCACAGCAATGGGAAAGAACTATGTGAATGGGAAAACTTTCCTTGAGAAAAGGTAGGCTTCCCAGAATCAGGTTCTAGGGCAGACTGATCATGTGAATTCCAGAATTCTTTGAATGGTTAATCTCCCAGATCTAACTCGTTCATTGCATCACTATATATTTCAGTTTTGTTAGCAATAAAAGAGAAAACATCCTAATACCGTGTTTTCTTAGTCTTCAATGAAGTTAGTGGTAATATTTCTTAAGGATATTGTCCAACCTTGTATCATTTTTTAAAATATTTATTTGGGGTTGTTGGGAGTAGTTGACAGAATTTGTCCATGTACCCTTGGCTCTGAAACTTGCCGTGTAGACCATGTTGATGTCTGACTCACAAGGTTCCATCTGCTTCTGCTTGCTTGTGTTTGCAGTCCCAGCAGTTGTGAGGATAAGGCCAACCTGGGCTATAGAGTGGGCTCTGGTCTGGGCTACGCTACAAAATTAGGGCCTGTTTGAAACAAAACAAAAATTGTGAGATCAGTAGTTGGTATTGAACAGATCACATGATATGTGTATTTTCTAAAGCAAGAATGAAGTGCTGTGTAACATTTGCTGTCAGTGCGGACCACAAGCCACTCTTACTTATTTGTGGTGATATTCTGAATTCAGTGTGCTTACTATCCTCCAGAAGTCTTTGATGTTTTAGACAGAGTATTTTATAGCTGAGGTGTAACACATGATGCTTCTCTATATGATTTTCGTGTAATATTCATGTTAAAGTTATTAAAGATCTTAGACTTTTAATCAATGTGTAACCTCAGTCTTGATAAACCACATTAACTTTTACCTGTTAATGAGTCTTTAGCATGCTGTTTTGTAACTTACAATATAGTATGATTTTAGCAACAGTTTGACTTTTATTATAGTATTGCTAAAACAAAGTGCATTTTAATATTGAATTTTTTCTTAGTGTTAGAAACTCAGTAGCAAGTGTCACACACCTTATTATTTGGGGATGGCTGTCTCATTGAGATGGTTAGGGGATACTTTTACAACTTAGGGTTTTTAGGAGAGTTAGATTTTTTAAAAGGATTTCATGTTTTTTTTTTCCTGCCCTTTTATTTAAAATAACCATGAAGAATCTAAACAGTGCTATAATGTTTTTCAATTTTTTCTTTAGATATAATGAAGACCTAGAACTGGAAGATGCCATTCATACAGCCATCTTAACCCTAAAGGTTAGCTCAGTATCCACCAACTAGATTTCAAATGGTTTTCCTAATGAACTGCTTGTGAAATTGACCGTTATCCTTTCCTTCTAAATTAGGAAAGCTTTGAAGGGCAAATGACAGAAGATAACATAGAAGTTGGGATCTGCAATGAAGCTGGCTTTAGGAGGCTCACCCCAACTGAAGTGAGGGATTACTTGGCTGCTATAGCGTAATGAAGATGTGCCCTAACAATCAAGATCTCACACGCTCTACTTATTCATGTTTAAAGTATGTTTTGTTTGTGCAGACTTATTTCTACATGGTTTAATGGATTCACATTTTTAAAATAATAATCATAATAAATACTGTTAAAACCAATTTCTAGTTTTTAAGACCAAAGTTTACACATACTTCTTTCTTACTTTATCACAGTTGACTTTTGGGAATTACACTACAAAGTAAATGGTAAAATTACTCTGATTTTCATATATTTTTCTTATTAGATCTCATTGCCCCTTTTACTACCAAATATACCTATGTTTCCATAAAAGATGATTCTGGTTTTTCACACAGATCATGACTTTTGGGACTGGAAGAATCTGTACTTTGATAAATTCATGAAACAGGCTAGGAATGTGTTAAGCTCCTTCTGGGTGTGGCTCGGCAAGCCATGGGGGCATTCTGCAGTTGTGCTGTAGTGATGGAGTGTCAGACAAAAATGGTCTCCCCTAGGAGACATGTGAGTGAATAAATCATGGTGTGCTGGATCCTGTTTGTTTCTGCGTCTCGTGTAGGTAAACTGTTGAAAAGGATTCCCTAGATTATGGTAGAACTTAGCTTAAGGGTAAATGTAGATAGTGGTAATATAGCTAAGGTCAGAGCTGCATCTCCCTCACTAATGAGAGAACCTTCACTGTAAACAGGTCCTTAGAAGCGAACAAGTAGTTGGGGCATTTAAACCCATTTCTTTTGTGGAAGTATGATGCATGATTTTAATTGTTATTTCCCTCAGGCACCTTAGGGTAAAAGACACTTGTACAGAATAGACTGTTTATGAATGTCATTAGCAATATGAAGAAGTAGGCAGGCAGTTCTATGGTTTAAATGTAATTGAAAAGATTTTGATCAACATTACATAAAATTTAGAAATATTTTTGACAAGATGTACTGTTTTGCTACTTACTATGAGAGTCCATCCATATGTTACTATGAGGAGGCAGTAACATTTTAAGAGATGGGAAGGTGGCACCTTGACCTGGAGTTATTCATGTATTTATTGTGTATCTGTGGTGTGTGTATGAGCATGTGTGTTTATGTGGGTGCCAGTGATGTGGAGACTAGAGGTTGATGTTGGGTGCCTTCTTTCTGTACCTTATATACTGGGACAGGGTCTATCACTGGAACCCAGAGCTTGCCTGATGACTGAACTAGTCCAGCTCGTTTGCTCTGGAGATCCGGTCTCTACCTTCTGAGTGCTGAGACTAAAGGCTGCAATTCTTGTCCCACGTTTGCGTGGGGATTATGTATCCATGCTCTAGTTCTCACATTTGCACTACAGGTGCTTTAGCTGGTGAGTCTTACCCTCTTCAGCGTCCTTCTATTTAAGATGTGTGTTGAGGTACTAGATGGCTCATTGGTTGAGAGCAGTTGTTGCTCTTGCAGAGAATTTGGGTTTAGTTCCCAAATACTCACATGGTGGCTCATAATCATCTATAGGTCCAATTTCAGAGGAGCTGAAACCCTCTTAACCTTTGTGGGCATCAGGTAAGCACATATGCACAGATATACATGCAGATAAAACACAAAATATTATAAACATAATAAAAGGTGTCTTGAGAGTATCAGTCTCTAGATATGCCTTGGTGTGAGTCCAGCACAGTAGTAATCATAAGGTTAAATTATCTGACTGCAAAGAAATTATAATAGTGGTTCTCAATCCGTAGTTTGCAACCCTCTTGGGAGTTTAAATGACCTTTCTTAGGGATCTTCTAAGACTGGGAAAACATTTACATTATGATTTATAACAGTAGCAAAATTACAGCTAAGTAGCAACAAAAATAATTAGGAAGCCACAATAAATTTAATTCAGCCACTGAATTAAAAGATTCCCCCCCATTTTGGTGTGTGTGTGTGGTGTGTGAATGAATTTGATATTGTTGAAAAGATTGGGATTTCTGTTAGCTGCTATTTAATTTGTTCAAACTTCTGATGTCCAATATTAAAAAACAAAACACAGCAGAGGATGCTGAGTGGTGGTTGCACAGGCCTTTAATCCCAGCACTTGGGAAGCAGAGGTAGGTGGATCTGAGTTCAATGCCAGCCTGGTGTGCAGAGTTCCAGGACAAGGGCTACACAGGAAACCCAGAAGAATGTCAACATTTATAAATCAAGGAAAGAGGAAAGTAAAGGTATATAAATTTAAGACAAGGAAAGTGCAAATAGTGCAGCAGAAACATTAGATTCAGGGTCAGCTATATTCTGCTTCTCTTAAATGGAAAGCTGCCTACAACTCCATTCCCTTTGTTGACAAGACTAGACAAAAGAATTCTTTTCATTGACCTTGACACTAATCTGTTCCCCTTTTGTCCTAGTTCAGAGACTCATTCTTTGATGTAGGAACTCATTGTATACCTAAACATTCTTAAACTCAAATCATTTTAGGCTTGTGGATTTTAGTTTCTTTTTATCTTGTGTATTACAATGTTCCCAGTATTCATAGCTTCTCCCAGCATTTGGTTCAATTTGTATCTGGAAGGCTTGTCTCAAATTCATTACCATAAATTTTGTTTTGCAAAGTTACTAGTAAACATGAATGTTCTTGAAGTTTACATATATTGGGGAACAGGAAGTAGAAGGGAAGAGTGAGGAGGACTCTTTTATAATGGAGCACTGGGCTCTTTAAGGAATTTTTGTATTTTCAATTGATTATCATAGATAGAAATTACTGACTCTTGGTACTTAAGCTCACCCACTTTCCTGTCAGTGTTCGAATGCTTTTCAACTCCTCAATCCTAACCTTTGCCTCACTGTGAAGCAGAATAAAAACTGATACTCAGTGGGAGGGGTTGGTACTTTCCTTGGATTAGAATTTTAGTTCTCTACGACTCAGTCCAATGGCCCTTTCTTGTCTGTGACAAAATGCTTTTCTCTGTGGCCTTTGGAATTGTCTTTTGTTTCACAATGATTTTATTTACCTTGTGGTGAGTTTTTACTTCCCAAATTTGTGTGTCATCCTCTTGTAGGGGCCGTGCTAATACTCTCTGGATCACTTGGATTTTAGCCTAAAATGTGCTGCCAAAAGGAGCACGGTTTGATAAGTTTCTTAGTGGTTATTGGACTCAGCGCCCAAGTAGGTCCTTATTAAAAAATTTTTTATAAGTATTTTAGTATATTTACATTTTTCTTTTTACTTTTCTTGATTATGGACCTAAAATTTGGTTTTTGCTGTCTTTCAATCCTTTTATATACTTCTCAGTCCACTGATGTTTAGCATATGAGATGCTGCCATTACTTCAAAGAACTGTTTCCTATTTGTGCCTTCAGCCCTTAAAGGAACAAGCTTCTTATTTAAGGGCCAAGGTAATCAGTTATTTGAAGGTTCCAGTTACAAGGTACTTCTTAAGAAAGCATGCTGTTGTATGTGCCTTCTCTGTCCTCCAAATCCAAACAGAAGGTCTGGAAGTGTTGAGTTTATGTATGAGTCTGGTACCTACCTATCTTCTTGTAGATTGTGAATGTCATATTTCTTTGGAATTTCTTATTTACTGTTTGAAGGGAAAAGGTGGAGGGGATGGGAAATGGAAGACGGGCGCATTGGAGGAGCAAGGAGGCGAGTGACAACATTTTAGTCAAAAACTTCACACTTCCTAATGGTGCCTATCTTTTGTTGGGCTCCCATCTGGCACCTGTTTACCTATATCACCGTAAACTTAATTTCTGGGGAAGGATGAGGAATGAGCTGGCTGTACTGGATGGTAGAGAAGACTCTGGTATGTTATTAATGAAGTCTTTTAAGTAATGTTTTTAATTCTGCCCCTCATCTAGACTCCTGAAGTTCCAAAGCCTTTCTGGAATTCGTGCTTGATAAAACCTGGCAGGAGTTTGAGGGTTTGCTGGAGGCATTTACAAGGGTTGTTTGTGTTTAAATAATTTGTCTGCGTCTCAGGCGCAAAATACATCTATATACCCTTTAGTTTAGAACTAAATAAATTAGTGTGTAATGTGTTTGGAATAGCGCTGACTGCAGCGCTATTTTTTTTTATTTTATTTTATTTTATTTATTTTTTTTAGTATATTTAAAACACCGAATGAGATATTGCTCCTGTCTTAAGATTTTGGTAGTGTATGTGATCTGAGTTACTTCAATCCTTAAAGCAGTGCTTGGGACAAGGAGCAGGATACAAGAAAAACACGACAATTGAAGTCTAATATTTACAATTAGTTTTGCTTTCTCAAACTTTTTTTTTTTCTTGGTAACTTTGGACACTCGGCAAAATATCCACAGCCCCTGAAGCTATGCAGTTCAATGCCCTGTTTACAAGGACAGCACATTTAAAGGTTCCTTCTATGTAAAATGGACAGGATGATGCAACTAAAAATGCTTCCGAGTGGCGTTTGGAACCTGATGGCTCTCGATTTTTATTTTGCTAAAAATACCCAAACCTGAGACACAAATCTGTTTCAGCATCCAAGACTCAGTGCAATTGAGACCCAACCCTAGACCCGCACCTGCTGGCTGGGAGCTCAGGTTTCCGTCATTCTGGTAGCAGAAGCCGGCTGCCCTCAACAAATATGGTCGCTGTGGTGCCGCCTGGGACTCAAACTCAAGCTCACCCGGCCGGAACCACGTAATGCCGGAGGCGGGACTCAGCAGGCGGAGTGCCTCTCAGCAGAGCAAGGTGAGGGCTGGCTGGTGAGCTGTCCCTGCATACTGCCTCTGTGTTCCCTCGCCATGTGCGCGTGGGGTCTGGCGCTGCTGGTGAGGACCGGGGACTGAGGGAGTGAGTGGGGAATAGAGGGAGGTGGAGAGGGAGGGCATGGGCCGCGTGTCCGGGCAGGAAGGGTCAGGTCTGCGTCTTCCCTACTCTGGCCTCTAAGCACTAGGCCAGCTGGAGCCTACTTGATCCGGACTTGTTGGATCAGGCCCAGCTGTGCAGGTGGACGGACCGAGATGGGAACCATACTCACGGAGAAGCACTTCGCCCCTGGCTCTCACACCTTGTCATCATAGTTCTACAGCCAGGCTAGCCATCTGGTGTGTTCTTCTGAGTCTTTCCAGCTTTTCCTTCAGAATGGGAACAGGAGGCCAGTTGTTTGACCCCTTTGTTCTGTTAAAACATTGCTAAATTGACATCACATGCAGAAATCTGACAGTCTTGACTGCTTGACATCTAAACTCTGGAAATCAAGAGGCAACTCCTTAAAAGACTGTCAATCCGGGCGCGGTAGTGCCCACTATTAATCCCAGTATTTGGGAGGCAGAAGAAGGTGGATTTCTGTGAGGTCAAGGCCAAGCTGGTCTACATAGTAAGTTCCAGGACAGCCAGGGTTATATGGAGAAACACTGTCTCAAAACAAAAATAAACAAGCACCCCCCCCCCCAAAAAAAAAAAACCCAACAAACCCCAAGCAAGAAAACAAAAATCATCTACTGAAGGAGTAAGAGGTGAGAGATCCTAGTATGGCTAGTTTAGGAGAGACTCTTGTTTGGACAGTTTGTGGATTTTTAATGTTAAGCTGTTGTTTTTACGTTTAAAAAATCAGTTCTTTGAGAACTTCATATCATATGTTTGGTTCATAGTCACTGTGGATGCCCCAAGTAGTCCCATATCCACCCCTCCTTCAAGACTGCTTTGTACTACCCAAATAGTCTCGGATGTGTGGTCTTCCACTGAAGAGTGGGGGACATAATAGAGCCCACATTCCTAGAAAAAACTGTCTTTTCCTCCCCCAGCAGCTCAAAATTGTCAATAGTTGCCTGGGGGATTGTGGGTCCAGTTCCCCTTTCTATGCTGACTTGGGCTTGCACAGGTTTGGTGCCTGCTGTGGCCAGAAGAGGCTTCATTGTAGTCGTCTACCACCACCTTCCTTCTTTTCACGATGATCCCTGAGCTTTCTGAGAATAACTGATGTGTGTTACATATGTCCCTTTTAGGACTAAGAGTTATATGTAGTCTTTTAGTCTCTGCACTTAGGCCAGTTGTGGGTATTAATAACTGTTAATAACCATCTACTGTAATAGAAGCCTCTCCATTGAGGGTTGAGAAATACAGTCATCTATGTGGATAGTAATAAGTCAGTTTTATACGGTCTGTCTAGCAGCAGAAAGTGATAAGCTTTTTACCCTAGAGCCTATGACTTCCCAAGCATAGGTTCTTAGCCTAATAATGATGCCAAGCAAGTATGGGTTTCATCCTGTGGACTGTCTCTTAAATCTAAATGTTGTGTTTATAAAAAGATGAAGAGGAGAGGAATATGGATGTGTAGTCAGGTATGGGGGAAGGAGGTGCCTCCGTGGGCTGAGGCATCCCTTCCCCCTGAGGGTATAGTATAGAATAGAATTTATTCAGGGCATGGGGAAGGGAGTTGAGAGGGTAGGAGAGAGAGAGAGAGAGAGAGAGAGAGAGAGAGAGAGAGGAAAAAGAAGAAAGAGGAGGAGGAGGAAGAGGAGTTGGCTGGCATGAGCAGGTGGAGAGAGGGGGAAGGGGAACGGAGAGAGAGGGGAAAGAGGACAGAGGGAGATCAAGAAGGCAAGAGCAAAAGTGAGTGGAAGGGGTAAGCAGCCCCTTTTATAGTGAGTCAGGCATACTTGGCCATTGCCAGGTAACTGTGGAGTGGAGCTTAGACAAAATGCTAGCACCAACCATAAAGTGGCTTGTTACTCCCATAATACTTGTGCTCCTAGTGTACTGATGGGCATGTTTTGCCAGGCCAGTCATAATTGTAACTCCAAGGATTCATAGCTAGATATTATTGTAGATTGCTTTTCTCTTCTGTTAGCCTGCATAATACCTTGCAGAACTATGAGAATTAGCCGGTAGGGATGAAGCTTCTAGGTCTGTACGAGTTCCATTTCTCCGTGGCCTATGATGCAAATTGCAGTAGGGTCTTAACCATCAAGTTCTAGATGGATTGGCAGTACCCCATTATGTTTGGATATCTATGGAGCCTCGATGACCAGCAACGCCAAAAGATAACCCATTTCTGACACTGGGAATTTTATTTGTTAGCCTCGCATCTAGTAGCTACATTGTTTTGCTCTGTTGTAAGGTAGTTCCACTTTAATTCTTAGTGTGTGTGTGTGTCTGTGTTGAGAGGTCCTTAGTGTTACTTCTCCTTTCTACACTTCCTCCTCTACCATATTCTTCACACTCACCCCAGTTTAGCCATTCCTGTTCCATTTAACCCTTTTCACCAGTGTGTTTTCTTTCTTCCCTTAAAAAAAACCCTCTCTGTGACCTGTTAGTAATGTTCTGATCTCCATGGATATGTTTTCAGTTCTTTATACATTTTAGACACTAACTCTATCAGGTGTATAGATGATAGATATTTTTCCTATTCTGTGGGCTGCCTCTTTACTCAAGTAATGGCCATTTTTTTGCTATCTAGAAACTTTTTTAGTTTCAAGTTTCACTTATTAGTTGTTGTTCTTAACCTCAGTGCTATAAAGATCTTGTTCAGAAAGTCCTTTTCTATGACAATGGCTTCTAGTATGTTTTATACTTTTTTCACCTCTATCAGAGTTAAGATATCAGGTCTTAGGTTGAGGTCCTTGATCCAGTTGGAGTTATGTGTAAGGTGAGAAATGAGGATCCGGTTTCTTTCTCCTACATTAGCTGTTCAATTTGACTAGCACCATTTGGTGAAGATGCTTTATTTTCTCCAGTGTGTTTAGTTGACTTCTTTGTCAAAAATCAAATGGCTTGAGGAGTTCATTTATGGGCCTTTATTTTCCATTGATCAATGAAGTTTTTGTTGTTGTTTATTTTATTTTGTTTTAAATAATACTATGCTGTCGTTGTTACTAGAGGTCTTGTCCTAGTTAGGGTTTTACTGCTATGAATAGATACCATGACCAGGGCAACTCTTATAAGGACAACATTTAATTGGGGCTGCTTACAGGTTCAGAGGTTCAGTCCATTATCAAGGCAGAAACATGGCAGCATCCAGGCAGGCAGAGTGCAAGAAGAACTGAGAATTCTACATCTTCATCTGCAGACTGCTGGCAGAATACTGGCTTCTAGGCAGCTAGAGTGAGAATCTTATAACCCACACCTATAGTGAAACATCTATGTCCAACAGGTCATA